AGAATCCAGTTGCCTCATTTCAAATATTAGGGAAATTTCTAAATGGCTTAAAAAGGACCTTGTTAACTTTAAAATTTTATAATTCTAAGTGTATGCTGCCAGAGGTATGTAGCATAGCAGGACACATTAACAAGATTATTGAAACTGTTCTAATAAAGGGCATCTTTGTGTCTTGGGTAGCTACTATGTTTAAAGACTGTGCTAGGTAGGAGTTGTGCAGAATACAAAGGTTCTCTGTAGAGGGATAGGGCATGTATACAGACAACCCTACTAACAAGAACATCACTAGAAGCTCATTGGAATCACAGTATTTCTTGCTGAGGGTATGAAACATAAGAGTTCTCCTTGGAATAGGAGGTTCTATTTGGGGCTTAAAGAAAGGTCAAAGGTTGAGTGCAAATAATGTGGATTGAGATGGTTTTAAAAAATAATCGAATGGTTTGTTAGTATTTAACTGGTGCAGAAGTAATTACAGTTTTTGCCATTCCTTTTAATGGCAAAAATTGCAGTTACTTTTGCACCAAATCCCTAATATTATTTACATAGTTTATCTCTGTTATGGAACTTTTTATTGACAAGTAATGTAGAAACTCACCGGATGGATCTAAGTTACCCTGAATCTTATCTTAGCAGAATCTGAATTGCTTATAAATAATTATGGCTATGTTGGAGGTAGACCCTATTATTTGATAGTTTATGAACAGTGCTAAGGTCTAATCTACTTTTTACAGAGAAGCTAAGAACATGCTACAGCTGGTTGAAAAGCAAAAACTTTAGGCATTCAAATAGTTTCATCAGTGAAATGGCAGGACTCATTTGATGACTGATTATTATCAACTGATTTAAGTGACTGAGTTTTTTTTGTACTGTGTACATCTATACTCTAAGAAGGAAATTGAACGTAATTCTGCTATGCTTGTTGCCACTATATTAATAACTGCTTCATCTAAAATAATTGATAGAGCTCAGATTTATCCTTTGTAATAATTCTAGTGCTTCTTTAAACATGTTTTGGGATTAGCAGCTGTCAACAGTTAGAACATGAAACAGATTCTGTTACAGGAGTAGAAGTTGATCCAGACATTTAATGTCTTTTTCACCTGTAAGTGAGAGAGAGAATAAAGAGGAAGAGAGATCATTATTTATGGGATTATATGAACTTCAAGTCCGTTTTCATTATTAGGAGAAGCTGTGCTTTAAAGTAGAGTCAGGGACTTTAATTTCATGAAATGCCTGAGCTGTAAATAAAGTATTGCTTTATTTTTTATTTCTTAAGCATTTGAAAAAAAAATTAGCTACAAATTATGTTCACATTATATTAAAAAATTTGCTCTTAGCATTGTGCATATATATTATACAGAAAAACATAGAGTAAAAAGAATAGACTTCAGTTCCAGTTCAGAAAAGGTTTAAAATTTGAATACTGATTTTGGAAACCCCAAACCTTAAGAGTTCAAGAAGCTTATGGTCTTCTTGAGGGACACCTATTCAAACTCTCGAATATGGTGATTGGGTAGCAAGTTCAGAAACACCTGCTGATGCATGCGCTAAAACACCTTGGAGAAAAGAGGTGGTAGTTGCCTGAAGTAGGACTTAAGTACCAGTTGGAAATAGAAGACAAGGATGGGGACTGTTGGGAGATGACTCTCCATGGGTCCTTCCTGTTTCTACCACATCTTGTGAGCAGGGCATTGAGTGCCTGTGTTCCAAACTACCTTTTCCATCATGTTTCTACAGCAAACAGTCATGGAAGATAGAAATAGAGTCTTCTCTGCAGCAAAGGGCAGACATGCTTGCTTCCTGTACTTCCCACTGTAAAATATTCCGGCTCCCTAAACTCAGCTTCCTTTCCTGTAACCCACCATGATACAGATGTCACCTGACCTCTGGGAATTGGGTGTCAGGGAAGCAACACAAATGCTGACGGTCTGGCTACTGTGACTGCTCTGAGTAATAAATTGTCCTTCGTCTCCAACCCAGGAGTCTCATGTTTTCTACCAGCAGGCTAACTTGTGGCAGGCTAACATGTTAGTTTGCAAGTAAGGTAAAATCTCAGACCCTCTGCAGTTTGTGGCAGGGATTACATTCTGAGGAGAGAGGAACAGCATGCTCCATGGCTCAGAGGCATGAGAAATCACATTTTACATGGGGAACCATAACTAGTTCTCTACCTTCAGAGCCAAAAGGTGCACCAAGGAGGTCATTTTAGGGGAGAATATAAAGTTGGAGATATAGACAGAGCCAGATTCCTGAGAATTGTATGCAGGGAGTTATTAGAGAATTTTTAGCAGTGACGTGATAAATCTTGTGTTGATTAGGTTACTCCAGGAAATATGTGATGGGTGGATTGAAGGATGGGGCACCTTTTCTCTAGGAGAAAAAAGAAAGAGTGGATGGTGGAGTCAGATGTAGCAATAGGATGAAGAAGGAATCTGAATGATCCCTTGGCCATTCAGTGAATAGTGATGCTATTCACCTAGATACAGCGTATAGGAGGGGAAAAAAATTCTGGGAAGGAGGGAGATGAGACTGAGTTAGCTTTAAAAATAACTAAATTGAGACCTAGGAGCCTATAGGCTATCCAGATAGAAATATTTAATGGCCTGTATGCATCTGGAACTCAGGAAGGAGGCTTCCGTGGGAGCAGATCACTTGGGCACTATTAGGGTGTATGTGGTAGATGCATTCTTGTGCAGCAGTCAAGGGGATGGGCTTTAGAGTCAAGTGCAAATTGCCCCCCATCCCCTGTGTAAGTGACTCAAGCTCTCCAGGCTTCAGTTTCCTAGTTCATAATAGTGGGCTCTAGTGGACAAGGCTGTTATGAAGGTTAAAGGAGACAACATACGCAAAGTGTGTGGTAGAAGTCACACACTGATCAGCAGCAGCAGGATGATCAGAATGCGGTGCTTGACACCAAAAGATTAGGTGAGATTGTCCAAAACAGCAGGTAGAATGAGGGGAGAGGATGAAGTCAAACATAGGAAGAAAAAAAGCCTTTGAAGTATGTGAAAAGAAACAACCAGAAAGGTAAGATGAGAACCAGAAGAGTTTCAAGAAGGAAGGTGTGGCCAAGATTGAGAAATTCATCAGCACGAATGGCAGTCAGGGACTAAATAGCCCCCTCTAAATTGTACAACCTTGAGGACCTGGGCAACCTTAACAGAATTTCAGTGGATTCCTAGTGCAAACCAGGCCTTACAAACCAGGAATGGATGGTCAATAGGAAGTGGAGACAGTAAGTGTAGACCTTACTTTGGAGGGAAGGAAGAGAAAGAGCCATGGCCAAGGGAAGTTTGAAATCAAAAGAAATATCTTTTTTTTTTTTTGATTGGAGAGACCTCAGTTATTCTTTTAAAATACTTATTGAATCCCTTCTTAGAGTCAGGCACTATGGCAGACACAAGGGAGATAGCAGTGAATCAGACAGATGCAGTGCCTGCCTTGGTGGAGTGTCACCTTAGCATTTGTCCGTATGCTAGGGGAGTGAGGCAGGCGCAGGGGAAGGGAGTGGATACAGGAGAGACTAAAGATCCAGGGAGCAAGTGAGTAAAGAATAGGGGTTGAGATCCCACAGACAACTCAGCTTTAAACAAAAGGGTTTTGTCATCCAATGGGACAAGAAGGTGTTAGGATACATCAAACGTGGTTGTTGAAAACAGAGAAGGGCTGGGCACTGTGGCTCATGCCTATAATCCCAGCACTTTGGGAGGCCAAGGTGGGCGGATCACTTGAGGCCAGGAGTTCGAGACCAGCCTGGCCAAATTGGTGAAACCCTGTCTCTACTAAAAATACAAAAATTAGCCAGGTATGGTGGTGCATGCCTGTAATCCCAGCTATTTGGGAGGCTGAGACAGGAGAATTGCTTGAACCCAGGAGGTGGAGGTTGCAGTGAGCCACGATCGTGCCACTGCACTCCAGCCTGGGCAATAGAGCGAGACCCTGTCTCAAAAGAAAGAAAGAAAGAAAGAACACAGAGAAATGTAGTTGAGGGAGTTTGGGTTTGGGTTTGGTAGAAGCAGGTTTTTGTTTGTTTGTTTGTTTTTAGAGAGTCTCACTCTGTTACCCAGGCTGGAGTGCAGTGGAACAATCTCGGCTTGCTGCAGCCTCTGCCTCCCGGGTTCAAACAATTCTCGTGCCTCAGCCTCCTGAGTAGCTGGGATTACAGGCACCTACCACCACACTAGGCTAATTTTTGTATTTTTTGTAGAGATGGTGTTTCACCATGTTGGCCAGGCTGGTCTCAAACTCCTGACCTCAGGTGATCCACCTATCTTGGCCTCCCAGAGTGCTGGGATTACAGGTGTGAGCCACTGCACCTGGCCTAACATTGATATCTGTTGATGAGAAGAAGCCAGGTGTTGGGGTGATAGCTTATAGCACATGAATTGAATAAAACAATGTTTAAGACAATGTTTGCAACATAATAGGCAGTGAATACATGTTAATGGAAGGTGGATTTGTGATTCAGAACCTCTAGACTACCTGGCTGAGTCTTTTAAAATGTAAGTAATATCGTAAGTGATATTACTTGTCCCAGATCAGTTGTTTAAAACTGATCTGGTTCAGTAGACTATGGTGATGATAGCAGCTATTTCTTCCCATAAGAGTTATTTCTTGGGGAAGTCACTTATACTGAATTTGACTATCTTTTAAAAATTTATTGAAATGTATGTTAAATAATACAATGAGGTTTAATGCTCTCAGAGTAGCACTGTGTCATCTTCTATCATGGGGGCCTTTGCTGGTTTTAGGAGGCTTATGTTTCATAATAGTTTCCTAGTGGACTCTTTGTTACCTGTAATGAGTGTGACAGTTATGCCGTGACCAGGTTTTATATGGAATACAATTTTGAGAAAGCTCTTTCTAGGCAGAGGAGCTTATTTGAACCTCTTATTACATTTGGGTTTCAGGCTTTTGAGTTCTTCTGAAATAATAGCCCTTTGAAGGTAGCTATTGCTATGACTTCATTAAATTCTAATGCCTCTGGTTTCCTCCCCCAGGTTTCTGCATATGAAGTGTGTAAAATAGATTGCTTGATCTAAAACAGAAAAACAGCGGTAACTGTTTTGCTGAGTTCCCAGACCCTTCCCAAGATGGAACCAATAACATTCACGGCAAGGAAACATCCGCTTCCTAACGAGGTCTCGGTGGACTTTGGCCTGCAGCTGGTGGGCTCCCTGCCTGTGCATTCCCTGACCACCATGCCCATGCTGCCCTGGGTTGTGGCCGAGGTGCGAAGACTCAGCAGGCAGTCCTCCAGAAAGGAACCTGTAACCAAGCAAGTCCGCCTTTGCGTTTCTCCCTCTGGACTGAGATGTGAACCTGAGCCAGGGAGAAGTCAACAGTGGGATCCCCTGATCTGTTCCAGCATCTTTGAGTGCAAGCCTCAGCATGTTCACAAACTGATTCACAACAGTCATGACCCAAGTTACTTTGCTTGTCTGATTAAGGAAGACGCCGTCCATCGGCAGAGTATCTGCCATGTGTTCAAAGCCGACGATCAAACAAAAGTAAGTGAGATGGAGATCCAAAAGACTAAGGTGTGGCTGGCTGGTTTTTAATTGTATGGGGGTCAGAAAATTTATTTTAAGTATACTGAAATGAATAAGGGATTAGTCCTGCAGTTATAAATTGATTACTTAGCTGAATTTTTTGTTTATGGTGCTAGTTTATAGTTTTGAAGCACATTTGAAAACAGATATGAGAAATTGTCAGTTTTTGAGTTCAAAAATTCAAGAGAAATCAGTCTAAAACTACTAATTAAGAGCAGAAGTGTTAAGATGTACATTATTCCAGACGAATGTTCTAAAGCCGTGCTTCTCAAACTGAAATGTGCTCGTGAGTCACCTGGGGATCTTGTTAAAATGTGAATCTTGATTCAGTGGGTCTGGGTGGACCCCAAGACTACATCTGTAACAAGCTGCCAAGAGGTGCTCATGCTGCCTTTTGCAGGTTGCACTTTGAGTGGCAAAGTTCTAAATCTCCACATTTGCAATCCTATTACGAAAAATATAGTTATTTGCCCGGCGCAATGGCTCACGCCTGTAATCCCAGTACTTTGGGAGGCCGAGGTGGGCGGATCACGAGGTCAGGTGATCGAGACCATCCTGGCTAACACGGTGAAACCCCGTCTCTACTGAAAATACAAAAAATTAGCCGGGAGTGGTGGCGGGCGCCTGTAGTCCCAGCTACTCGGGAGGCTGAGGCAGGAGAATGGCGTAAACCCGGGAGGCGGAGCTTGCAGTGAGCCGAGATCGCTGCCCCTGCACTCCAGTCTGGGCGACAGAGCGAGATGCTGTCTCAAAAAAAAAAAAAAGAAAAAGAAAAAAATATAGTTATTCGTAAACTGTGTAAAAATGCTCCTGGCCAGTTTCCCAAGGCATAATGTTCACTTAGGCAAAGGTGGTTGATAAGAACGGTGGATATGTATCTAAGTTTTGATGCTGTTAGGGGTTCTTTGTGTTTTTCTCTTTCGCAAACCTCAGGTCAAATCTGATTAGCTTGTTATTAGCCCATGATGTGGTCGAAAAAAAATATGAGACATGGTAAAAGCTCTGCTCTTTTCTTGTTCATTTGTGCTTGCTTTGTTATTAGCATTCGTTGTAGTTCTGGGCAGGACTCATTTGAAGATGCTTGTCCATTTTATGAGAATTAGCTGAGATAAAATTGAAAATACAATGCAAATAGCCACTTTCTCAGTTGAGCTCAGGGCTCCACGGCTAACCCCATGGACTGTGGAGTCTCACCGTTGTTTTGGGTGCCAAGCAAGGCAAGTCACATATGACTCAAGCTTTCCGCCACATGTACAGGGTGAAAGTGCAAGTGTCAATTCACATGTCAACTGTCAGTGAAGCCTTGAAAGGTTCTCATATTTTCAAGTTTAAAATCTGAATAGAAATGCCGAAGTTTTCTCTCTGCGCTCCATTATGTTATTTTATATACTCTCTAGGGTGTAAGAAACTTATTTAGAAATTAATGTTCTGCCGGGTGCTCAAGTGTATACCTTTAGGGAGGGGGATCAGAGTCAGAGACGATCCGCTACAGGTGAAACTTATAAAATACAAAACTAGGAGTGCGGCCTGTATCGCTGTCGGGGTGAGGCAGGTGGGGACGGGGCGGAGCTTGCATAGTGAGATGCCACTTCCTGGCAGCAGACAGACTCTAAAAAAAAAAAAAAAAAAAAAAAAATGTTTGTACAAGTAGATGCCCTTTTGCGTGTTCATTTGTTGGTTCTTCTAGTCATTCAGAATTGCTGTTGCAGGTGCTGTTGGAGATGATATTAGCAGAGGCTTGTAGGCAGGCAGGAGCATTAGTGGGGAATAGGACCACGTGATCCATGTATAGAACATAACAGAAGGACTGAGAAGAGAGCCTAACACACACCCAAAGTGTAGAGAAGGCTTTGTGAAATAAAGGCTAATATGGAGCTCAAAACCACCATTTCGCTCACAGAATCAAACTCTCATACTATAAATCATTTCATGTTATTGTCCATGCATCCATCTCAAGTGGGCGTGACAGCATTAGGCTTGGTGATTCAGAGGGGCTAACTTCCTGTATTCTAATCCTACTTCTGCACCCATAAACTGGGTGGCCTCAGGCAATTGAGTCTGTTTTCTTATCTGGTAAATGGGAATAATTACAGTATTTATCCAATAGAGTTGCTGGAAAGACTAAATGAGGTAGCACTGGACCTGAAACTTAGTAAGCATTTATAGCCATAAAAACATTGTCATTCAAGAAAATTTTACTAGAGGCAGATTGTATGCTAATTTCATTTCATGTCTTAGGTAAAAAGAAACAGGATACCTAGATGAGTATCTTCAGCTTTCAAAGATGAGATTCTGGTCATCTTTGAGGAACATTTTTAAAATGACATGTATAACTTAATGGCTCCTATTATTTGGACAAATTCCAGAATGAAAATGAGAGGACTGAACAGCCTGTACCGCAGTCCAGCTCTATATAGTATTTGGACTGAGTTTCCTTGGGGAGTTTTTGCATGGAATCATTGTTCAGCACTTTACACATTTGACTTTTTCCCAAAATCTTTTATAGCCATCTGAGAACAGGCTTCTGGCCAGTCATTCGGATGCCTGACAAGAGAAAGAGATTTATAACCAAATTCTGTAATTGGGACTTCCAGTCTTTCCCCAAGTAGAGAATTGGACTTACTCTATATTCTAAAAAACTATGGTTGAAATATGAATTAGTTCTTAAGTTATTTTTGGCTTGCATACCATTTTTGCAAACACAAATTGTCATTACTCTGTTCATTTTATAAAAGAATAATTTGTAGCATAGGTATGTACCTCAATCAGTGATTTTGTTGTTGGAAACAAAACAGTAAATCACACTGGCCATGATGCTAACAGCATGATAGATTTCCTGTTCTTGGAACACCACTGTCACTGTATCTCATAGCAAAGGATTATCTGCTGTAGGAGCATTCTCTTGACTACTTACAACATTTGCTAGGTGAAATAATTCTCCAGGTTAAGGCCTTTTCTAAAGAGATGAGGTCAGCACCAACTGCATTTGCCAGAGAAGACATATGCATTTACTGCCAGCGTCATAAACACAAAACTACAGTCTGCGAGGAAACCCTTTGATCAGCATCTAATTAATTCACTGGGTAATGTCTGGGGAGAAGAGGCATGTGAAGGAATAATTGTATAAGCATGCCGTGAGATTGTGTTTTCTATTGTATGTTCCATAGAATATGAGGAAACTTCAAAACGTGTTGTGGAAAAATGGAATTAAAAGGTAAAAAACATATATACACATGAGCTTTATTTCTCAACATACACTTTATCAAGTTCAAGACACTTTTGTAAGCAATGTTAACAGCCATTGAGTCCATCTCTAAAGAACTGAGGGTCCTGGGAATTTAACCATGTTTATGCAGTCTTTTTTACATTATTAACTGAAGAAAAAATGGTGCTCTTTAAAGATTTTTTAAAATTGAGAAGCAAAAAGAAGTCAGAAGGAGTCAAATTAGGCCTGTAAGGTGGATGCCTCATGATTTCCCATGAAAACTCTTGCAGAATTGCTCCTGTTTGATGAGAAGAATGAGCAGGAACATTGTCATGGTGGAGAAGGACTCTGGTGAAGCTTTCCCAGGCCTTTTTCTGCTAAAGTTTTGGCTAACTTTCTCAGAACATTCTCTTGACAAACAGATGTTATCGTTCTTTGGCCCTCCAGAAGGTCAACAAACAAAATGTCTATTTTGTTGGCAACCATTTGCCCTTGACCAGTCCACTTTTGCTTTGACTGGACCACTTCTGCCCTTGGTAGCCATTGCTTGAATTTGGCTTGATCTTTAGGATTGTGCTAGTAAAACCATGTTTCATCACCTGTTACAGTTCTTTGAGGAAATGCTTCAGGATCTTGATCCCACCAGTTAAAAATTTCCCTTGAAAGCTCTGCTCTCACTGGCAGCTGATCTGGGAGCAATGGTTTTGGCACCATCTAGTAAAAAGTTTGCTCAGTGTTAATTTTTCAGCCAGGATTGTGTAAGCTGAACCAGAAGAGATGTCTGTGATATTGGCTATTCGTTTGTTTTATTAATTGTTGGTCGTATTCAGTGAAGGCATGAACAAGATGAATATTTTCCTCAAAAAATTATCTGGATGGTCTGCTGCTGCAGGCTGCCTCTTCGATGTTGTCTCATCTCTTCTTCTTCTTTTTTTTTCTTTTCTTTTTTCTTGAGACTCAGTCTTGTTCTGTTGCCCGGGCTGGAGTGCAGTGGTGCGATCTCGGCTCACTGCAATCTCTGCCTCCTGGGCTCAAGCGATTCTCCTGCCTCAGCCTCCCAAGTAGCTGGGATTACAGGTACACACTATCATGCCCCGCTAATTTTTGTACTTTTAGTAGAGATGGGGTTTCACCATGTTGGCCAGGCTGGTCTCAAACTCCTAACCTCAAGTAATCTGCCTGCCTTGACCTCCCGAAGTGCTGGGATTATAGGCATGAACCACCGCGCCTGGCCTCGTCCTTTCTTAAAATGAATTATCCTTTTGTAAACTGCTGATTTCTTTGGGCATTGTGCCTATAAACTTTTTGTAAAACATCAGTGATTTCGCCATTCTTCCACCCAAACTTCACCATAAGTTTTATGTTTCTTCTTGCTTCAATTTTAGCAGGATTCATGTTTCTCTGGTAGGGGGTCTTTTCAAACTGACGTCTTCTCCTTCTTAGAGCCTCAGCCTAGATCCTGTTCAGACATGCTACAACAAGTTAGTACAAGTTTATTTGTTGCAAAAAAAAAAAAAAAAAGGAAATCTATGCATAGTTTTTAAATAATATGCATGTTTCATGAACTTTTTGAAGACGCCTTGCATACTTAAGCTGTTCCACGTGGAAAAGCTTCCATGATCAAATGCAGCAAGGCAGCATCTCAAACATTTTGTTCTAAGGATTTCTTTTCACTCTTCAAAGTTGTTAAGGATCCAAAAGACCATCAGTTTATTTGGGTTGTATCTACTAATACGTACTCTGTTAGAAATTA